ATATATATATATATACACACATACAGATATATATATAGATATATATATATACACACATACAGATATATAGATATAAAACATATATTTTAAGTCCTGCTACACATTTGCTAAGGGATTTATTTTATATCTGAGGGTGTGGAATGGAAAAGTCAAGTTGTATCTGCTGGTTTTATTAAAATTACATCTGTCCTGAAGGTGGGGGGAGAAAGTGTGGGGAGGAAAGCTGCTAACATACTTAGCATAGGGCTGTCTGTCAAAGTTTCCACTTTCTTCCCTTGAACCTCTATATTAAGGTTTCCTGTAATACCAGTCATCCCGTACAGAATGAATAAGTTCAGCGGTGACTGGCCCAAGTGGGCATTTGGTGTGGAAAATTAAGCAGTGAGGTTATTTTAAGAAGATATGGAAATAGAGCAGGAAAATAAAATAAAATAGGAAGGTATTCCTGCTCTGTGTAACTTACACAAAGAATAAACATTTACTGTTACGTTGGTCAGGAGACACAGGTATGGGCTGTAGAAACCAACTGCGGGGTACTTTACTTAGGAAAAACACATTTTACTGTATATTTATGCTGTTACCAATGAGGCGACTGTCAGGGCTCCAGTTGAAATTGCTCTCCAATGCGGATCATACAAACCATGGTGAAAGGGCTGACACTTAGGAGGCCTACAGATGGTTGCACGGCACCATATACATGCGGAGGTCATTTTTTATTGAACGCCATGATTTGTGGTCATGCAGTTTTTCAGGCAGAAAGTTTTAAGACTTTCTATAAGACTATATTTACTGTGAAAAACCTAAACAAAGAAAAGATCATCTCAACATCTAGGCTTTAGTTAAAATTAAATGCATGCGATACACATTTTCCAGCATGCTGTCAACTTTTCAAAGGATGCCACCTTATTTGTTTAGACATTCGATATTTGATTTAGTAAGAGCACTTTTCTAGATTTTGGGTTATCGTTCTATATTACTGAAGAAATAAGTCAAAAATAAACTGAATTATATAGACATGTTAGTTTGTAGTGTTCAGTATTTTAGTTCTTCACATATATTTTTCCACTGGAAGTTTTGCATCTTTCAAAATACTTTTTCATACGACCGCCATCTGCAGGTTGTTTTCAAAATAGTGCCGTGCAGACGTGACCAGTATAATCTTGCTTTGAAAGAACTTCTATTTGTTGAAGTCAGCGTACTCTACTTTACTGTAATTCACCTATTTGTATTCACAGAAAGATTCAACTAGCCATATACCTGCCCCAGCAACAGGCTGGGAAGATATTTAGGCAGAGCAATAACCTTATCACACCACCTAAAGAATGATCAAGTTGCTGGACTGGAAATCTGTATTTAATTCACTGTTAAAATTGTTACCTGAGCATTAAGCAGGGACAACATTAGGTAATTACTAAATGAATTGCTGCCATCTGATAGCTATGGCCATGTACAGAGGAACACATTAATGGATAGATAAATAGATTCATTAACAGATACATAGAGAATGGGTATGGAAACAGAAAGGTAAATAGATAGAAAGATATGGATAGATAGATAGGTAGATAGATAGATAGATAGATAGATAGATAGATAGATAGATAGATATGGGATAGATAGATAGATAGATAGATAGATAGATAGATAGATAGATAGATAGATAGATATGGAGAGATATATAGATATGGAGAGATAGATAGATATGGAGAGATAGATAGATAGATAGATAGATAGATAGATAGATAGATAGATAGATACTCATTTGCATACAATATTTGGAAGCTGTAGTGCGATTTTCTGTTTTCCTTTAGAAATCACATCGTCGTGTTTTGTTCCTCATCTCCTGGCAATCACACAAGAGATGAATTCTGGATTAAAGCCCTAAATTTACATTGGAGGAAGAAGAAACTGTTTGGCTGCAAGTCAGTCATAACATTCAGCGTCCTGTGCCCTGTGTGTACAAAGCAGCCATTGAAAGGCGGACTAATAATAAACAAATACAGCAGCTTTATGTCCTGGGATCAGAACATCTGCATGGTCATATTGTGCTCATGAAATGGAATT